TATTTACTTATCATGAATGGAAAAGCTTACTAAAGTTCTACTTTTGGATTTAATTTATGTGTGTATAAAAGTGTAGATTTATGTAAATACGGTATTATTAATAAATGTATTAATATAGAAAAATAAAGACTGCATGTCTTATAAGCAACGGTCGTTTAAGAAATTCAGTAAATATCAAAATATATGTCAGTGATAAAGAAACAACTGAAGAAAGAATGTAAGAAGAGAAAATAAAAAAAAAGAGTCAAATATGAAAAAATCGATGAAAGCAAAATATAAAACAGAAGAAATAAGAAAAGAACCGAACTTGAATGGACTTTGAGAAATAAGATGAATCTAGGACAGACACAATGAGATAAAATAAAAGAGGACGGAAAAATATGTGATGATAGGAAAGAAAATGAAGAAAAATACAGGAACAATAATGGTGAATGAAAGAGGAACGCACATCAGCCAAAATTGCCAAAGTAAATAAAAGGTTGTTTAAAAAATGTACATTCATAATAAGTAAAAGAGAAAAAATAATTGAAAAAAGAATAGGTACAAATAATAGGAAGAAGAAGAACGAAAGAGAAGGTATAAGGAAGAAGAAAAAGAAGAAGAAGAAGAAGAAGAAGCAGGATGAAAAAGGAGGAGAGGAAGGAAAATGAGGAAGAAGAAGAAAAGTAGGAAGAAGAAGAAAAGGAGGAAGAAAAAGAAAAGTAGGAAGAAAAAATGAGGAGGAAGAAAGGAGGAAGAATAGAAGGAGGAGGAAGTAGGAGGAGGATGCTTAAAAAGACGGAGGGGGTAGGAAGAAGATGAATCAGAAGATGAAGAAGAAGAATCATCTAGTAAAAGTAATAAAAATAAGTCAAAGTAAGATGGAAGTGAAAAGTCAGACAAAGAAAAAAACCCGACACCTACTATTATCGTCACCTTATAATAATAAAAAATAAAGCAATCGGCACACAGGCTACGAGACGTAAATTAGCTATTTGTAATGATGGCTAACTTCGCAAGAAGCCATTGCATTGCGTTCATCGTGCGCGTCCATTTTGAAAACAGGTCTCAATGTCCAACCAGAATACTAAATTGATTCTCACATCTTATACAAACGCTATTTGGGAGTCTCATTATGGTTAGAAATCTAGCCAAATACATAATGTCTACTCTAGTGCGTTTGATCATCACAGACTACTCCACGCTTTAGACCTTGTGTCAGACTAAGTAAACCTTATTACATGCCTATACAAATATTGCAAATGCAAATTATCTTTATTGTTTTTCGTACACGAATTTTCCTTTGTGAATTGTTAAATTAAACGTCAACAAAAACTGGCGATATATTTTGATCAATAATTTTAGAAAGCTTTTCGTAGTATTAGTGGAACTGGTTATTAGTATTCTGTAATAACCTCTGTATGTTTGATATCCATCCATTCTGTATCGATAAGTATATGTTTGACAGTTAACTATCTCAGTTTTTTCGGATAATTCACACCATTTTTATGTACTTAATGTTGTTTGCGTCGATTCATTGTTCAACCATCGTAATGGTTTGTGAGAAAAAATGAAAACCTTTTTTTACTTTCGATAAAAATGAGTCATATTTATTCTTGGGCGAAAAAATTGCTCGAAAAGTGTGACACAAGGTCGAAATATATGCGAGAAATTGTTAATTTAATTTAGCTAACCATATTCACTGTCCCAGGAGTTCTCCATTTTTCCTTTCATGACAAAGGCGTATTTTAAAAATATTTTTCTTATCGCACTCACCACAGGACACAATTTCTGCATGAAAATTATTACTATTGCCATATATGCAATTTACTGGATGGATTCAGAAAATTGATTTTATATTAAAGTTAATATTATATTCTCATTATTTCTGCCTTTTTCTTTTATATTTTTTCTCTTATATTGCCTTATGTATATATACATTTATTATATAGAACCATTTAGTTATTTGGGAGTTTTCGCTTGAAAATTTCCCTTTTATATTTAAGGAAATTCTTACTTGTATACCAAACAATCTAATATGAAGTAACAGTAAGTTAACCGTTCGAAAAATGATGTGGAAACAAAGGAGAAAAAATAAAACAGAAACTAAAGAAAATAAGGAAAATAAATGTAAAAAGAATGTAAAAAATATTTTAACATTTTTGGAGAAATTTACTTTCTGTCAGTGGTGGGGGTGAAGAGTAATCTTACAAAATAAATGAAGTTGGAATTTAAAAAAATAGACAAGAAATACACATTCTCTAAATGAGTTAAACCGTTTCATTTCAAAGAAAAGAAAGAAATAATAACACTTGCATTGGGCCGACGGTTCTTTTCTAAAGTACGAAATTAATACTTTAAAATTGGTCTTTCAAGTCACATTCTAAATAAGCATGTATCTCGATACACAATCATGAAATTTTGCCCATTTTTTTTCTGAAATTCAATGAGGTTGGATCACTTGGCGATATAAAGCCCTGATTTTCAAACCTAGCTCCAGCCCCAGCCCTAATTGATAATTTTAGTTCTTCTCTTTGTCCCATAAATTCGAGTTTGTTTTTACCGATTTTCAGAATTTTGGCATTGTTGGAAGATTTCCAAATAGCTATGTGCCATATTTTGTTTGAAAGTTACAGTCTCAGGATTTAAAAACTGGTCCAACTTTGTCTTAAGTATTTACCCAGTCATGATCATTTGAAATTAGTGAAAACTCTAAAACTACTACTACTACTTCTTCTTCTACTACTACTACTACTAAACCTTATGCCATGAAAACGTTGAGCCTCCGAAGCCATAGTGTCCCTCCAACTCTCACGACCTTGGCAGAGCGTCAGAACATCCTCCAGTGCCAGATTGATCTGCTGTAGGTCCTGGGAGACGACGTCCTTCCAGCAGTTGCGTGGTATCCCGCGAGGTCATCTCCAGTCGGCAGATGACGAGTTGAACTGGTAGATGGCTTTGGTCAAGACAACGAACATAGTGCAGACCTAGCAATTGATTCAATTATTTCTCTTTTAACTCTCTATGTAAAATAGATAACTAATATAAAATATTTATCTTTGTGCATGAACTTCCTGATATACCTGTTGGAACATCATTGAATACAACCCTGTGCTAACATGTTATAGATAATTTCCAGTAAAGGAAAAATCATGTGTGATAATTCTTAAGGGAGACCACTGATACCCAGAGATTTTTGTATTCTAACGCTCTTTAGGGCTTTTAGGATTTTTTCACTTCGCACTGAACAACTTCACTTCTCATGAGACGATGAAAAACACCTAAACGATATCGAAGTGAGTTGTATTCATTTAGAACGGGTGTCTGGTTGAAGTACATTGTAAAGTAATTCCGAAATATGAGTTTGTCAGCTGCCATCCACCTGTCCAACGATGTAACACAATATAGAAATGTGCTTGAAATGTAGAATTCTGATGTGATTTTTACATGCAATTCTGTGACTATATTAGTCATCGGAAATAATAATTTTGACGTAGATTTAACTAATTAATTTTGATAATTCTTGATATGCAAGAAGGCTAGTTCCAGCTTAACTATAGTTACTTCACTTAACATACACACACACACACACACACACACGCACGCATACACAAACGTATTTATAGATATATTTTATTTATTGTAGAGTCATTTTTCTATTAGTTTATCTCATCTGAGTGTTATACTAAAACTATCAGCAGAAGTTTTCATATATTACCTTTGTCTAATCTCTACTATCCATCCCCAACCAGATCCCTCATCAATTTACCATTTAGCTTTAGTACTAGCCGGTTCTATTGATTGATTGATTTGTTTTTTACAGCTTATCAAACTTTTGCCTGTTATTTAAAGCCAGAAAATATTTTTAGATTCTAATGATTTACTGATACAAGTATTACTAATTAACCTATTGATGGAGGAAAAGAGTTGGATTCATACTGTTCCTAAGTGTATTTGCGCATAAGTGAATCTAATGAACCCGAGCCGTTATCTACACTACACGCTCATACAAACTAACAGCGCTTGGTATTCCCAAGGGGTCATCCTTTTAAATAGTTTCCAGGCTCGACGTTGCTTAACTTAGATGATTGTACTAGCACCGATATTTCAACGTGATATGACCGTAAACCTATTAGCTAGTTCTGGAGACCATTTTCATGTAATAGGGTTGTATCTAATCAGTCAAATTGAGAAAAATAATTCAACTTCTGGTTTTGTGGAAGGCGCTCTTAATATGCAATAGCTATCAATCGCATGAGATCCACTGCATCGCCTTCGGATGTAGACAAGCTTTTGAACTCGTTAACAGGAGCTCATTTCGTTTTCCCTCGGTCAATTTTCATTCTACATTGTTACAAATACACAATTTTTCATCACCTGTAATCTTTTTTTTTTTCCAAAACGGGTCGTTTTTCTGTTGTTTGAGCAGAGAATTGGCGATGGAAGTTCGGTCTACTAAATGTTCCGTTAAATTCTAAGTAATCAAAATATCGTAGCAATTCGCATATCTAAGTATTGTCAAATACATTAAAACGTTCATATCAGTTATGTCGTGTGTCGCTATGATGTTCTCAATCGTATGATTTGGATTATTTTCTATCTGCATTTCGATTTGGTAATCATCAACTACTGCTGGTCTTCCAGAGCGTTCTTAGTCTTCCAAATCAAAGCGTTCATTTCTGAACCTAGCGAGCAACCTCAGATATGGCACTTACTTTCATGAACGGTAGATGTCATTTTGCTAATTATGCAGCATTTACGGAAGTAAAAGTGCATCATATTTCAAAAATACATTTTATTTTCATCCATTTTCAATTTTTTACGTAAAACCGTTTAAAATTCACAATCCCTGCATAGACATCGTGTAGAAAAGCCGACTTTAATGTTAGATTTCAGAATATGTGTATATGTCATGAATATGTTGTGTGTGAAACGAAATTACGCTACAGACTTTTGTTCCCAATCAAATTATTATGACATAAAATTATCTAATAAATATAAATAATTTTAAATCATGCAAGATGTTTACGTAAGTTATAAATTTCTTTTAAAGAAAATTGATTAACGTCCTCTAAGAAAAATGTGGTTTCTGAAAATAAATTCAATATTAAAAACAAGTCTCCTGACGAGTGGCTGTAATCTCAGCGAAACTCAGTTTACATCATCTATCTATCTATCTATCTATCTATCTATCTATCTATCTATCTATCTTAGGAGGTACTGAAAAGTTTCTGGTCATTTGGTCAGTAAATTATCTAATATAAATATTGGCAGAAATTTTTTCATTTTTATTTCTTCCTCTTTGTATATTAAAACATTTTACTTTTCTTTTTACTTTTCTCCTCTCCCTTTTCATTTCGTCTGAATATATATATATATATATATATATATATATTCTCCTCTCCCTTTTCATTTCGTCTGAATATATATATATATATATATATATATATATATATATATATATATATTGTTACGACCGTTCCTCTAACCGGATCGATAGCGGAGATAGAGGAGGATCGTAACCTGTGTTATTTTAACGTGTATACAATTATTATAACAAATTTCTTTCCCGAGGAGCCTTTTTCCGATTGATCAAACACGTCCGAGCGGAACTGATTATAGAGGCAACAATAAATTTATTATGAAAATATAGAAGCGGAGAGAAAATGAAAGACGGGCAAAACCAAAAACAATAAGTCAAAAATAAACATTATGTAACAGAATATTGGGAGGGGAACTTATCCTCTCAGAAAGGTAAATTACAGATCAACATATGATCTTGTGCCACACTTGCATGAAGTCACAAAGCACGAAAAGATAAAACAAGCAGAGAGGAATATGAAATACAAAATATTCCATCCCAGGCTTGCATAAAAGTACAAACATTAAAAGATACATTGAGCAAAGTGAAAACATGTAAGAGAAACAACGAACTTATCTGGTCGTTATAAAAGTTCTTTTTTCTTTAATATCTCTTATATGTATTTCTTCTTTTCTTTTCTCTTTTTAGATTTATTTCCCCTTTCCTTTTTTTCTCTCTCTTTTCTTTCTTTCTTTTGGTGTCTTTTCTCTCTTTTTCCTTTCGTCTGGTCGTGAATTCTCCTTGAGGTTTTTCCACTCTTTCTCTTTTCGTGCGTCTCTTTTTGAGGTCTTTTCTTTCATTCTTTTTCTTTTCGTCTGGTCTAGGGACTTGAGTGACGAAACAATTGAAGCTGTCTTCTTTCTCTTAGCTTTCATGACGATACATATCATTCTTTCGTCTTGATGTAAATGCTTTTCTCGTACGCCGGAGCTTGTTTCTTTGAATCCAACATTGTTAAATCGTTTTGGTTTAGAGAACATATTAAATGTCTATACTTCTTTCGCATATCCAAATACTTTTTTCGCATACCCAAATCAATAGCTAACTATCGCAGTCATAGCAGATTCATCTTTCCAGTCCAAAGGCCGAAGAGGGTTGTCTTCACATGACCAAATTCATAACGGACTGTCGCATTTATAGCGTACCTGTCCATCCATCCGTTCAGCCCGAAGGCCGGAAAGGGTTGTCTTCACATGACCAAATTCATAACGGACTGTCGCATTTATAGCGTAACTGTCCATCCATCCGTTCAGCCCGAAGGCCGGAGAGGGTTGTCTTCACGTGACCAAATTCATAACGGACTGTTGCATTTATAGCGTAACTGTCCATCCATCCGTTCAGCCCGAAGGCCGGAGAGGGTTGTCTTCACATGACCAAATTCATAACGGACTGTCGCATTTATAGCGTACCTGTCCATCCATCCATTCATCCCGAAGGCCGGAGAGGGTTGTCTTCACATGACCAAATTCATAACGGACTGTTGCATTTATAGCGTACCTGTCCATCCATCCATTCATCCCGAAGGCCGGAGAGGGTTGTCTTCACATGACCAAATTCATAACAGACTGTCGCATTTATAGCGTACCTGTCCATCCATCCGTTCAGCCCGAAGGCCGGAGAGGGTTGTCTTCACATGACCAAATTCATAACGGACTGTCGCATTTATAGCGTAACTGTCCATCCATCCGTTCAGCCCGAAGGCCGGAGAGGGTTGTCTTCACATGACGAAATTCATAACGGACTGTCGCATTTATAGCATACCTGTCCATCTATCCGTTCAGCCCGAAGGCCGGAGAGGGTTGTCTTCACATGACCAAATTCATAACGGACTGTCGTACTTATAGCGTACCTGTCCATCCATCCATTCATCCCGAAGGCCGAAGAGGGTTGTCTTCACATGACCAAATTCATAACGGACTGTCGCATTTATAGCTTACCTGTCCATCCATCCGTTCAGCCCGAAGGCCGAAGAGGGTTGTTCTTCGAACATGACCAAATTCATAACGGACTGTCGCATTTTATAGCGTACCTGTCCATCCATCCGTTCAGCCCCGGAAGGCCGAAGAGGGTTGTCTTCACATGACCAAATTCATAACGGACTGTCGCATTTATAGTGTACCTGTCCATCCATCCGTTCAGCCCGAAGGCCGAAGAGGGTTGTCTTCATGACCAAATTCATAACGGACTGTCGTACTTATAGCGTACCTGTCCATCCATCCGTTCAGCCCGAAGGCCGAAGAGGGTTGTCTTCACATGACCAAATTCATAACGGACTGTCGCATTTATAGCGTACCTGTCCATCCATCCGTTCAGCCCGAAGGCCGAAGAGGGTTGTCTTCACATGACCAAATTCATAACGGACTGTCGTACTTATAGCGTACCTGTCCATCCATCCGTTCAGCCCGAAGGCCGAATAGAGACTAATTTTGCGCTGTTCGTTTTTTCGCGCCTTGGTTTCATCACGTGGTCCTTCCTTTCCAAATATGGATATTTTTCCTGCAGGGTTTCAGAGAGTTCAAGATCGTTTCACTGTTTGGGTTTCATCCGGTTAAATCACGCTGTCAACACGTGATCAAAAGAGAAAAGAGATGTACAGTCTTTGTTCAAATGCCTGCCAGTTTGATTAAAATTTGTTAATATTCAATTTTACTATATTTCTTTGCTTTTCTATTTTTACGCTTTCTGAGATTACTGACCTTTTTATTTAGAATGCTTCTAAAATATAAGTATTGATATAGATTTCATAATAAATTTAAATGAGGGTTCATAACAATATATAATGAAATATTTACATAGAGAGGGGAGGGAAAGAGAAATTGAGAGAGGGAGAAAGGGAGAGATATACACTTGTTTGTGAGTAATTAGATAAGTAAATATTATCAGCAAGAACCAAATAATATGATAAAACCATGAAACTTACTCTTTGTAAGATGATAGTCTAATGTTACATATTTCAGCTCATTATTTCCTACCTGCTGTAAACATATCGAAGTTATATTAACGTTAGAATATGTGACAGTTGTACATACACTACACATATCTAGGACTCTTGCTGTAGAGCAATTATTAGCGAGTTAATCTCGTAGGCTGTTGCTAATGAGTTCCTTCCTCACTTACTGTTGTAGCCTTGCATCTTGATAAGCCCACTCACATAAATATCTACTCTAGTTACATTCATCGAAAAAGAGAAAAACGATGGCGATTGCTCTAATATTTCTTGTGAAGTCATGTTGGTGATGCTTCAAAAGTTTGAAGGTGTCTCAGAGTGTTTGTTCAAGAGGCTGATCGTTGATGTGGCGTGTGGAAAAATTCACTGCGTGTTTTCTGGATTTATAGATATGGATGAGGAAAAAGAAATGATTGTGAAAAAAGAAAGTGGTTGTATTATTTTGTTTTACATTTACTGAAAAAAATGAGAGCATGAAATATAAAAAAATATCGCAAAGCGCAGTTGAAAGAGGAGAAATGTTGGTGCATATCTTCGTGTTTGCCTCACTATACGTTTGTGTGTGAAATAGAAAAAGATAGATAGATAGAGTGAGTGACAGTGACATCTATGATATCACTTTCATCGCGTGAAGAAGTTCAACCTGAGTGATCATGTTACTGCAGACTTTTTCAATTTGAGTCCTGTGCTGTCAAAATATACAAATCAAGGTATTGCACAGATCCTGACCCAGGATACAAGATTAGAAATGTTATTTCCAGATAGATGAATCTTCATCTCATTATGGACCTGATGTTCATCTAGAACAGGTGATCTCAACTTTTTCTGTCATCGCCTACTTTTAAACGGAAAAAAATTTCCACCGCCCACTTATACAGTAAATATTTAAAATCACATCAAAATTGTTTAGTAAAAGTTAGTTACTGGTTCGAAATCTTATCTTATGATGTAAAAAAAGATATCAAAGGTAGGTAACAAATAACATTGACTTATCCGACAGCAGTTGTTGCTACTACTGTATTAAAAAAGAAAAACGAAAGCAAACATGATCATTGAAGACTATATATAATTTAGTTTTATGAATATAGTTAGCGTTGCAAGTGTTGACAAAAAAAAAAAAGAATAAAGATTTTTGTTCATAATTATAAAATTAAAAAGAATATACACTACTAACAACTAATAAAAACTCAACGAATATTTTTGTTGTTCTTGGGCTTCCCCTTATCTGATTTTTATCCGAAAACATGTTATTTCGTCTGAATAACTATTTGAATGTTAATGGAACTTCTCAAAACTATAGAAAATACCAAAATATCCTTTGTTTGCGGAAATATTTATCTCTTTTCTAGGAATTTGACCCAGTTAATCCTAGTTAGGACCATGTTTTTAATAAATACTCTTTGCATATCTCCCATGAATGTTTTTGTTTTCGAGCAGCATATGTTGAAATAACTTTTTTAATATTTAAAATCCTATATCGGACACCAAAATATCCAATCGTCCGCCATTTTCTGTTCACATACTTATCGCCCACCTAACAGTTGAAATCACCCACTGGCAGACGATATCGCTCAGGTTAGGAAACCTTTGTCTAGAGATTGTGGAAACTTTTCCCGGAAAATGCATTGTACGCTGCGGTTCGATTGATTGACCGGCAAAACTCTACAGACCAAACACATTCATACTGTCGTATCAGAGAATTGAAACCTCAGATCACTGCAAATTTTGAGAAACTGATATAAAACTTGAGCGTGTTTTTTCCGTTCTGTACATGCTTGGCTACAATTGGGCATTGATCACAAGGTAAAATACTTTGAATATTGCTAGTAATATAACTCAGTAGAGTTCCTTAATAATTCTCTCAATAAATGGAGAAACAAACGCGTCTTTCATTGATTTCTATCTTCTTGTGCATTAATACAAACAGAAAACAAACAACTGACATGCATAAAAACAGAATCAGTCATTTTGTATACTATCTCCTTTATCCATTATTTTGAATTTGCCTCAAGCTTTCCTAATACTTTCTCGACGCCCAAACTCCAAAGCTTTGATGTCGTCGATAGAAGCAACGAAACATCCAGAGCACTTCGTAGATTTCTAAGCGCGTCACTGAACCCTCTAGGAATTCTTTTTTTCGCCTTTTTATGTTTTTCATTATACCATGGTCACAAGGTGACATAGGGCATTCTTCAAAGCTTGCATTACTGGACGGTAACATCTTATGTAATCCACCAAGGACAATAAATTCTACCTGTTCTATAATAATTATCACTTCTTCATACGCTTTTCATATACTAAAATTAACAACTATTTCGGAACAGAAGTTATAATTATATTTTTTGTTATAACATATTCTACAAACAGAAAAATATAAAGGAGTCTTTCACTTAGGTCTTAAAATAAACATTTTCTCCATCTGGGTGTATGAATGTCACATCAGAATATTATATATAGAATGAAAAACATGTTGATCTTTGTTCAAATCATTGAATTGTTGATGCAGATGTGTATATTCAAGGCGTACTATTTCAACTGACGAATGACGAAGCGACCAAATGTATATTCAGATGTGCTGCACACAGTATTAAAACTTAACAGAGACACAACTCTCGTAAGGAACAGTGTGTTGCTAAGCGACGACTGGGCAAGAAAGTTAACAAAAGACTGTAAGTCAATGATTAAATAGAAAATATATTCTGATTAGACATTTAGAATAAATAGCTGGACAGGCAACTATAAAACCATACAAATACCAGAAGCAATTATAGGAGCAGAAGAATTTCCACAACGTTTTCTTGTACAGAAATTTGTTGGTATCTAAAGGATACCAGCAAATGGATAGGAATACAATAATACAGTGAATAAAAACATATTAAAATATAGTTCAGATTTGAAGTCATAAAGTCTGAGAAACACTTATATAAGACTAGAATGATGAAGTCTATAATTCTACATAGAATATAGATATTTGTCAGAAGGTAGCTATGTTTTACGTAAAGATACGATAACATGACACTCAGTAAGCATGAAGCTCACTACAGCAGTAACTAAGAACAAAGTACATAACCTCAGTGGAAACTTAAATAGCTTTTTACATGTATAACGATTTTATATAACGTATATTTCTGCGTATATAACAACCTTTAAATCCCAACAGTAATTGACTCACTTCAGATAATGCCAGATGAGCATTAAACACAATATCCTTAATGAGAAGCGTGGTGCATCGGATGATTGGCCTGATAGATGACCTAGCCACCAAATTCACATCAACGACCCACGCCGGGCATGTACACGCGTCGGAAAATAGCATAAGAAGCAGATATATAAACACCCACCCGGGAGGGAAGAGGACAATCTGTTGCTTCCACATGAGAATTTAGGGTCCATTTTAGGATATTACCCTGGAAGAAAAAATACCCACACGTCGGTTGTAACTGATAAATTCCAGAGTCAAACAAAGTGTAAATACACTTTACGCATGAGGCATTACGCCTTGCATTTTTATTAACAATGTACGATGGCAAGGTTAAAGTAAGTGACAAATTCTAAAACAAGAATTTTGAGCTGAAAATGACGACTGTAGGAAATTAAATAATTTATTTCAGTTAATAGTTCTGAAAAATTTCATTTTCAAACGTATAAATGAAATCCGATAAATGTATCATGTGTTGATGTTTCCCAAAGTTTTCTAACAGCAAGGCTATAAAAAGAACGTTTAAAAGTGTACAAATATTAATGTATTTCAAAAGAATTTTGTTGAAGCGAACAGAGATCTTGAATTTAATGTATTTTTGTTACAAAAATATATTAAATTATATATTCTGAGTACAGCTGCGCCGTGATTAGAATATCACAATTTGATGCTTAAAAACAAATGTGTGGAAGAGTGATAAGATCAAATATTCTATTTCTAAAAGAAATGCATATGTTTTAATATTTAAAGTTTTAAAGAAATAATGAAAATTAAAAATTATTATGACAATTGCGTACAACTGAAATAGTAATTAATATTGTCAAATCTTTAAGATTTGTTTATCACGTTAAGCGTCAATCAGTGTCGGGTTTAGACATTGTGGCGGCTTTATATATAAGCATTTGGAATTAAAAAGTGAAAGTAAATTCTACTTCAGACATCTTCCTTTAAGCGTAAAGGCTCTAAGTTGCTTATAAATATGGCCACGGTGATAACTTGTGTCTATCTAAGTGGCCGGTTTAATTAGATTTGTGTCTCTAATGTAAGTCAAAACAGAAACAGAAATATTATCAAAAAATATTTACCTCTTAAAAAAATTTGACAGCAATACTAGTGGTAAATGCAAGTAAGTAATAAGTATT